TATTGGTGCTTGCGGATTACAATTATATAATTTTGGTCAAACCATCTCTATACCATTTTTCACCGATACGTGGAAGCCAGATAGTTTTTACGATCGTATTAAAGAAAATAGAGATTTGGGATTACACACGTTGTGCTTATTGGGTAATAAATTCATAATAATTCCTATTGACATTTTTTATTGATATTTTTTGACATTTTTTATTGACATTTTTTTATTGACATTTTTTATTGACATTGCATATATTATTCAATTTATAATTTATTAGATATCAAAGTAAAAGAACAAAGTATAGAAAATTTGGCAAGGTTTACACCATATTGTATTTCAAAATAAACCAATTAAATTTTACAAAAAATTTTTAACTGAAACATAACTATTAAACAGGGGTAAGAAAATTTATGAACCACCTCGTTACATGACTATCAATAAAGCAATTCAACAACTTTTTGAAATTGAAGAAACTCGTAAACAAGAAGGTAATTCAATTTAATTGAATTATTCATAATTTATTGAAACATATTTTTAAAAAGAATTATTTTAAAATAGTTTACACACCCGAATCACTAGCAATCGGTATAGCCCGTCTTGGATCCTTCACGGACCAACAAATTAAAGTTGGTACTTTAAATCAATTATTGATACAAGATTTTGGATCACCATTGCATTCTTTGGTTATTGTTGGTTCTAGAGTTCATGTTCTTGAAATAGATTTCATGAGATTTTTTGCAGTTGATAAACAAGTATATAATGAAATTGTAAAAAAGGATTATGGAATATAAAAATTCATAAATTTATATAATTTATATAATTTATATAATTTATAATATTTTGTCCTAAATAAATAACTGTTTAAGCGGTAAGGAAATTCTAAATATAATGAAACAATCCAAAATTGATTTATTCATTTGGTTTTGCAGCTGGATCTAGACCAGCATTCTTCATTTTGATAGCAATCTCGAATAAATAATCATAGCATTCAGTCATTGTCTTTGCTTTCGTCCACGATTCTTGATAAAAAAACAAGTAAATAAATTATAATCATTATAAATATAATCAATCGGAATTAAAAAATAATCAATCGGAATTAAAATATAATCAATCGGAATTAAAATATAATCAATCGGAATTAAAAAATAATCAATCGGAATTAAAATATAATCAATCGGAATTAAAATATAATCAATCGGAATTAACAAATACCTCCCCAAACATAAACACCATGACGTCGAACAAGGACAGCATTTGTTTCCGGATGTTGTTCCATCGCCTAAAATCAAATTTGATCAATGTTAATAAATCTAATGAATCTGATGAATGAATAAAATTTGCTTTAACGTACTTGAGCCATTCTATCAGTCAAATCTTCTTCCTCTGGGGTATTATCTACGATGGGCACCACCAATGTATCATAATAACGGAAATACTCTTTTCCACTACCACGTTTAATCCCTTTGATCATTTCCTGATGCGTTATTTCGAAAGTACTACCGGGGTATAATAGTGTAATCATCACAGCATTTTGGGAATGAGTGTGTATACATGATCCAGCATTACGTATCGTATAAGCATTATAAAATAATGGAGTGCAAGCTGAAGGACGATGTACTTCCGGAGCTCGAAGAATTTTGCGTGTTGAAAGCTCGAGAACGAACAGGTCGAATGGTTGGATTCTTTCTTTTTGGACACCTATTACAAAAATAAATATACATTTGTTCTGTATTATAAGTTCTGAGCACATAGATACAAATATTGACTAATTTACCTGAGGGTGCTATATACACATGCTCCCTAGCAATCAAGTCTTACGGTGTTAGAAATTAAGTTAAAAAATACAATTCTGAATTACTTACCCTTGACGAATAGATATCCCACCACTAACATATTAAGTATATTAAAACACATCAAGCAGGATTTGATTATTTAGATACCATATAATTTATATAGCTTGCTCTTTATCAATTGTGTATTCTTACCCAGTTCCGGTAACCCAACCCAAGTTATAAAACAACCTACATAATTCGGGTATAAGGTTTGCGGGGTGCAAAGGGTCATCAGAACAAACTAAATCATCCATTTTTTTAATTTTTTTGCAAACAATGCAGGGTTTTTTTATATAGAAAATAATTAGAAATAATTAGAAATTAACGTTAACCTTAATTTGTTGATATTGGTTGATCAGCATGCGAATAACAATAATAACCCATAATAACCCATAACAATACTGACAACACTGAACGATAACGATAAAATCTTTATTTACATTATTTACATTAATCAAAGGAGAAACAATTTAATTAGCATGATACGTATAAAAAATTATTATTTGGCATAAATAATACAATCTAAAAATTAGAAATACTATAACGTCGAAGAAATTCTGGGAAAATATGTACAATTGTACGATTACGCCCCTCTCTTACAAGCTACCTTAAACAAAAAGCTCTTTATTAGCTTTGATCATAATTACTTTTCTTTCGATTATTTGAAAAAATAATTATTAATTACTAAATTTTTTATTTTATTAACGATTGTATAACTTGTATAGTTAAGTTCGTGCACAACAAATATCAAATATATTTTTTTTGCGTAACTAAAAGTAGTTTATTAATGTATCATACATTTAAATTTGAGCAAAGCAAATATCAAAATATGTTACATTCAAATTTGTATAAATTTATAAATTTTAAAATAATGCATATTAAAACTCAAAAGAATTGTAAAACGAGAATTGTAAAACGACATGCAACATATATAGACAACAACAATAAACAACAAATGTCTTTCATCTAAACCCGTTCTCCACGAAGACGTCTTGCGAGTTGGATATCTTTAGGTTGAATTGTCACTCGTTTAGCGTGAATCGCTGCCAAGTTGGTGTCTTCAAAAAGAGCTACAAGATAAGCTTCCGCTGACTTTATTTTAAAAAAAAATTTACATATTATATTATTATATTTATTAATTTCTAATAAACGGCAATATAAAAATAATTTTATTAAAAGAGTAAACTTACTTCTTGTAAAGCTCCAATAGCCGAACTTTGGAATCGTAAATCTGTCTTAAAGTCTTGAGCAATTTCTCGTACCAATCTTTGGAATGGTAATTTACGAATAAGTAGTTCAGTCGATTTTTGGTATCGGCGGATTTCACGTAAAGCGACAGTACCAGGTCGATAACGATGAGGTTTCTTTACTCCACCAGCGGCTGGTGCGCTTTTTCGTGCTGCTTTAGTTGCAAGTTGCTTACGAGGAGCTTTACCACCGGTTGATTTACGAGCAGTTTGTTTTGTGCGAGCCATCGTTGAAAATGTTTTGGTATGTTAAAGTAAAATTTAAAATGTAAAGCCGATTATAATTTGTAATAAATGTAATAAAATGTAAAAAATTTTTTTATTAAAAGAGTTGATTAAAATTGTTGGGTTTATATAGAAATTTCATTTGTTGTGACTTCTGATCTCTGACGCGTA